TCTTCAAATATTAGTAAATCAACATCCATTATATATGTATATAACATATCATATTTTTAAAATTAGAACATTCACAGTGAAACTGTCCAAACATATATTCTGCAAATATAAATTCATTTGCTGCATAGGGTTGTCAGAAGTTTCCATCTGCTTCACAACTCTAAGCAAGATTCTTAGAAATGTCTAACAAACAGCAATGTCAGATACTCTAAGATTTTTCTAGGCATTATCTCATTTGATTGCCCTACCTCCCTTAGGTATTATTACATATTATTAATTTCATTTCGCAGAAATGAACACAGGCTCAGAGAAGTGCCATAAAAGTCACATAACTAATAGGCTGCCAAGTCATAAGCTGGATCAGGATAGGCCTTACTGGGGATAGGGCAGTCAGACAGAACAGGCTTCCTTAGGATGAGGATGGGGCCCTTGCACCAGACCTGATCTCCCGGGAACGACATTGTTGCAGGAACCGCCCCCGCTGTCTCTCCTCCTCCAAGACTTTCTTTTTGTCACAGGTTCCCAGGTTGATCAGAACCAAGGTGTCGTACAGCAGACTGTCCTTCACCTCTTTATCCAACCAGGAGTCGGTGGAAAAACTTGGAGAGTGGTTGACCTGTGAGAGCAAAATGCCAGCTAGGAGTTGGGCTATTGACAGTGAAAATGGCACTCCTGAGTGATACCAAAGTCTGCCTCGGGGCTCTGGGTGCCAAGGTGAGTGGAAGAGAGAGGGAAGAGAGTCTAGTTTAGAGTCACAATGGGAAAAGGAGGAAAAAGGCTTTCCACTAATTTAAAGGGAATCTTTTCTTCTTGATAAGCATTGGGGGTTCTCTCTCCATTTTGTCTTTGTGTTTTCACACATGCACCAGCATTCCACAGAGCAAGACAGGAGGGGCAACCCAAAGGGATAGATTTGGGGTAGAGGTAGAAAGGGGAGATCCACCAGGAGCCTGACCAGGATTGAAGGAGAGACAGGTGGAAGGAAGATGATTTCTTCCTGCCCAAAGCAAAGCCTATATTGTCCAGAGGACATCGTTAGACTTCCAGTGAACATTTGTAGAATCCTAGAACTTTTAGATCTAGTCATTTTAAAAGGCTTGTTCCTTCATTTTGCACAATGAATTAAAATTATATATATATATATGAAGTGAACTTGGGGAGGGGGAAGGGAAGCAGGGGAGGAAATGTGAACAATCATTGAATGAAAACACAGCTTTTCTGTAAAATTGTATTAAAATCACAATTAA